ATATACATATACATATACAACATATATACATATATATATATGATATTGTGTGTCTCTGTGACAGTGTGTGCGCGTAGGTCTATAGGTCTATAGGTCTAGGTTTCAGGCCGGCGCGATTCTGGGTGTCTGGACGAGCGAGGTTGGAACCTGGCAGATCGGGCGGGATCATTGTCCAAATGTTGAAGTACTGGCGAGCGGTCAGTGCCACCTTGCCAGTCAGTCACAGGAGAAAGACCTTGCAAAGAAGTACGATGTGAAAGGGCCGCTCGGGCTTCAAATTCAGCTGCGCAGTGTCCCACTGTCTGTCGTTGGTGCTGTGCTGGTCTGCCATCGCAAATTTAGTCATGTTTTTCTTTTGTTGTGCTTGTCAGCTTGTCGCTGTGGGCATACATTTCGGTTTCGCTATCGGATCCGCCAGTACCTTCGCACATTGTCCCGATTGAGTTTGTTGTCTATTTCTGGCTCTGCACCTTGTGTGCTTGACTTTCTCTGCCAGGTAGTAGTAGTATTCGCCATGCTGTCTGCCAGTTTCGCTGTCGACACAGAAACAAGAGCGAGCACGCCTCTTGCACAATAACTGTGACGATCGCTATGGTGCAACGCTGCTGTACTTCGCGCGTTCTGTGGCTCTATGGCCATGGTCACGACTAGCTGTGACTGCAGTAACTGTTATTTGCTTATCTCCTTGCTGTGTCTTCGCATCATGCCTGCTCGTACCTTTACCATCGACCCAGGTTTACGCATGATAGGGGCTGGAAGCTTTGTTAGTATTTCTTGCATGCTCTCCGGATACTTAGGTTTCCTACCCTGATCTGGTTCGAAGAGGGGAAGCAGATGGAGTACAGTGGCGGGCGGACAACACAGACAATCATCGACTGGGCGTCGTCCATGTCCTTAGGCAGCAAGGTTGGCGGTTGAGACTTTTCGCACACGCCTTGAAGCCTTGTCCATCTGACCGAAGGCCCTGACACCTGAGCTGAGACCAAGCCACGTGAGCCCAAGATTTTGGGCTAGATGAACGGCTCTCCTTCGTGGAGCTGCTAAGAGCTGCAGCTCTCAAACCTCTGCAAACCATGGAGCGTAGACCCGAAAGACGCAAACCCCCTTAACCAGACGAAAAGGGCCTTCGACTCCCCAGGCCCTGACACTGTTTCAACCCCTCAGCCCTTTAGAAAGATCCTTACGGCCCTTGTCACCTTGTCCCCCTTAGCTCTTCAAGCCTTAAGGCCCTGAAGCCCCAAAACCCGAGACTCCAACCATCAAAGCTTATCGCCCTTGTTTTTTAACAGCCCTTTGTCCAACTGGGAGACTCTTGCCTCGCTTGCAGCGTTCGAGCTGTGAGAGTTGACAGACCAAGGGAGGACCCCTTGGAATCCTGGAGCCCTGCAGCCCTGAACTCCCGTAGCCATGTTGTCCCACGTTGCCAGCAAGTTATTGTGAACATGCGAGGGATGCCCCAAAACAACACAACAGAATGATGTAGTGAAGATGTTACGGTATCATACACGACCATAAGAGCCATTCCTCTTTTCGCCACCGAAGAGACGTGCTCGCGTCGAGATGAGCTGAGTGTTGGGACGCCCTCCAACGGAAGGGCGCATGCCGCATCCAGAATGCGGCGGGGTGGCGCCCCGAGGTAAGAGTCTGGCGAGACTTCGTGGTGGGATGTGCTACACGGGGTGCACGTCCTCCGGAGCCAGCATGGTCGACCAAAGCAATCCGGAACGACGTAGGCTTCAGCTGCCTGTCCAGAACCGGGCCGTCCACACCTTTAGCCAGTAGCTGCCAGCAATGTGATCTCTACCGCTGTCCGCTTCTGCGTACAACTCTCTTATGGAGTGTTCTCCGTCGTCTTTCAATCTGTGTACCTACCTGTAGGGCGGTCCGGTCGCAGAATGCGACGGTCCGGAGAGGTTGGGGTGTTGTTTATGTTTCCACGATGGTTTGGTCAGTAATTAGTATACTGCTTGTGCCACCACCTATTTCATGATAGCAAGCGCGATGACGCGTAAAGAGGCCTTACCGCCGTACCTCCCGTGTGCGACTGTGAGAGTCGAAACGCTAGGCCCACAAAGACAACCTTATATAAACTTACATTTAGGGTTTACGGGAAATCCTTGGAGAAACTGCTACATGCTAAGAACCACAAGGACTGGCCCGGCGGTCTTGGAGAACTCAGACCCAGCTCCTCCTGGAAGTGAAAGGCCGCGTGTGGTCCTGCAGGCAGAGGGTAGATCCCTATATGGGTCACAAGGAAGGTTAACACTAGGCTGTTGCAAGGGGGCTCTTGGGGGTAATTGCGTTCTATCATGTTGTCCCTCGTCAATAGAGAGGGCTCAGGGACAGCCCTCTCGGGTTTTGCGGGCTTGTGGTGTAGGACGTGTTGTGTATGACCTAGCAGGGTGTAGGTGTTACATGGATCGGAGAGCATTCCAAGGATTTGATAGCCGAAGGCTCAGTAGCCTGCTTCCATGATTGCACGAGTCTTTCATCGCAGGGTCAGCGCGAAGGAGAACTTGGGTTTCGGACAAGGTCTCATTGCAGTTTTTGTTTTCTGGCCTTCAGCTTCCGGGAGTTTGGCCTCATGGTTGTTGGCTCGGTGGTCGGGTGGCTACACGCAATGGAAACGAATTTCGACTCCGCATGTGAAGGGCTTAGGGCTTGTAGCATCTACTGGGCTTTTCTGCTGATGACGTGGAACAGATCCCCAGACAGCAACCGGCGTTCCGTGGCCGTTGCGAATTGTGTCCGGCCTTCTGAGCGACCCTTAGCCGCCTGCATTTCGCGGACTAGGCCAGCAGCTTGGATTCGGTGTTCGAGCAGGTGGCCAAGGATCATCGAAGGACCCGACTTACCTTCCCTCTAGGTGACATTGCAAGCCCAAGGCCACTGACTCATTTAAGTCGGCGCCCTGAGGATACCCCGAACAAGAGCCCTAGTTGTGCTCGTGTTGGTAGAAGCAGAAGTAGCACTGTTGCCAATGTCAGTACTATTGTATCGTGTGTTTTGCTCAGTCTTTGCAGCGACAATACGGAGACAAACAAGAAGATGGGTCATATGGATGCTGAGAGTGGGTTGCTGGTAAACCCCGTAGCGAGACGTAGTGTCGCGACAATAACACAAGTTTTGAGTCGTCTTCAACCGTTCTTTGACAGGACTGACTGAAACACGAGCTTAGGAACGGTATGTGCAGATGATTCACAGGGCCTGGAAATAACGAAAAGGCCGGGTCCAGCTCCCCCGTAAATTCTCCATGCGAGATCAGAGCCAGAGTTCGAAAATCTCGAGTGGCGGAAGGAAACAGCCGTGTTCATTCGGCTCAAATCGCTCATCTTCGCAATGCTCGGCACTATATTCATTTTCGCGAGTGTATCCTTACCTTTTGGGTCTGGGGTCAACGTCTCGCTGTCATGCCCACGAGGTGCAAAAGTTGCTCCCCGTCGCTCCCCGCGTATGGTGTTCTCACTCTCTGGACCGACAAGCAGCACCATGCAACACAAGCAGCTTGGTTTTGCTCGCAGGTGCGATGCCTGACAATCCATACACACGTAGTCTGTTCCCACAAGGAACAGCGAACCTCGTCCCTATACACGCCACGTTGGCCCCAGTGCGTCCAATGCGGACGAAGGCTTGTGTACATTGTGTACATGTGCAAAAGTGTTGGAGACTTGGCGTTTTCCGGTGCCAATCAGTCTTCAGTATGCCTTGTTTGGCAATAGGCAGCTTCACTGAGGAGCTTTTGCTACTGCTAGGTAGCTTTCTGGAGTTGGCGCTTCGTAGTCGCGAAGACTGTTATGATCCTTACGTGCAGCAGCAGCAGCAGCAGCAGCAGGGGCACGAGGAGCAGGCGTCGTCGTGTCGTCACCATCAGCTACTGCAATTGTTGTAGCTGATCCTACTTAAGAATGTGCCGTGCAGGAAAGCCACCTGGTACTTCCAGAAGACCGGCGGAGCCTCGAAGGTCATTCTTCAGCACGCAGGACAGGGCCTCAACAGCCTCAGCATGTAGTCGTGTCATTCTGAAACATTCCGAAACTGTCCCGACATGGTCGAGAAATTCGTTAGGGGCACTTGTCCTCTGGGAAGGAGAGGATCCGGTGGAGTTGCCGGGCGCCTTGGAGAATGCCACGCTGCCGCTGGCCTGCAACTGGATTCCAACAGCCGTTCGAGGGGATGAACAAAAGCTTCAATTAAAACAGATTCAAACCGTTTGCAGGACATTTCTGATAAACTGCCGTAGACCCGAAACCAGGTACCTGAACCCAAGCCCTCCCGCGGTTTCAAGACTCTGCTCCTCCCGTAAGCTCCTGGGGCGCTGTATCGCACGTGGAATACCGATTTTTCGGGAAGAGTCTTAAGTAGCGATGTAGGCGGATTGAGAAGCTATGCCATGTTTGGCATAGGGGATGACAGTAGGAGCGATTCATGCAGGCATGATGATCAGCTATTTTTTCAATAACGGCTGAGAAATGCATGTCGAACTTTGGACTCCGAGTTGGGTGGTTGCTACGATGATATACCGGGCCGGGTACTTTGTTGCAGGTGTCTTCGATGCACCAAGTACGAGGCCAAAACGAAGGGTCATCAATTGAATTTGGCCATTGGCTGTAGGACCCAGTTTGTCTTGGACAATGCTCTGCCGCTGGTCGGTGAGCTCAACGCCGATACCTTCGATAAGTGTCCGGGCAGATGAAGGGCCTTTCTCACAAGCCCGGCTCTGCGGCTTTCGGTTTAGGGCTTGCTTGTTTTCGCTCAGGATCATCCTAGACCCCTTTCTGTTCTGTATCCTACGGAAACACAAGCCCTGATCAGGATTTATATGGATGGCCGTGCAGGGGTCACACGAGCTTGGGTCACGGATACAGGGGTGCTTGGAGGGCTGATTGGTGGCTCGACCTGATCGTTAAAAAGTTAGGGTTCGCGAGCAAGGGTGCCTCTGAATTCTGCTTGTCGGCAGGGCCCCAAACGGTCCGGGGGCTTGGCATGGATGCTTTTTAGCTGCAGAGCTCCCTCGTTTTCCTAGCCTGCTTCATGGCTAGCTTAGAAGATTCCAGTGGTCATGTTCCGGCAATGTTTTCAGATTCGGTCGATGCCCAATGTCCCCACGTAGCTTACAGCGATCAAAGCCTCCCCACCGACATCCACGAGGGCAGCCTAACGCCAAACCACACGCAAGAGCGTACTCATGAGGTACTTGGAAGCTGGGAAAGGCTTGGTTTGGAGCCTTTTTCCGGTGAAAGCTGGCGAGGGCTTTGAGGAGCCGGAATTAGGAGATTCACTGATTGAGCTTGAGCCTCTTGGATCTTTGCGGTTGGCGAAGGTTCCGCCTGTGCTTTCCTTTCAAGCTTCTGGGGGTAAGCTTGTATAGTTAGTGTGGCTATAAGGGTTAAGTAAACTATACAATCAATCTTCTATTCCATATTCATAACTGACACACATGCTAGCCAAAACTGTTTGACTGGCATTGCTGGGAACCGTATCCTTTGTTCCCATGGCAAAAATGATTACAACGACAGGCGGTACGTCCAGATTGGGCCAAGAAGTGGCAGTAGTTACTACTGTACTTTGCCCCGTGCAAGCATTCTTATCGTAAGGCGTCGTGGCCGACTGAAGACGCTCGAGAGGAGTCTAGCCTATGCAGCCCCGATCCAGCCGTGCAGGAGCATCGCGGCATCATGACAGATGTGGGAAAGAGGCCGAAGTGGAGAACCTGTCCTTCTGTGTAGGACAGTGTAGGATGATGTACGAAGCTACCCTGTCGAGTTGCCCGAGTGGGGTTGGTTGCCACATCAAATGCTGAATAATTATTCGGCCAGTGCAACAGCGAAGAAAGGTTTGCAACATTGACAGTTGGACTTCGCGATGTTGTGTGTCGTTGTCGTTATCGTTGTCGTCGTCGTGGTTGCTGTCGAGGTCGGGTCGTGGTCGCGGTGGTGTTGGTGGCGGTGTTGGCGGCGGTGTTGGCGGCGGTGGTGAGGTGCTGCTGGTGCTGGCGGTGCTGGCGGTTGCTGGTGGTGGCTGCTGCTGCTGGTGGTGGTGGTGGTGGTGGTGGTTGGCGGTGGCGTTGGTGTTCGTGCTGTTTATGTTGCTCTTGTTTCTGCTCTTGCTTTTAATCGTGCCGTTGCTGTTGCCGTCGCTGTTGTTGCTGCACGTTGTCGCTGCAGTGGCAGTAGGAGCCATTTCCTTGATGTGTCGATGCCCCCCCTGCAGGTTTCGAGGCAAGTACTTTGTGACCCACACCGACACGGTACTCTGGCTTAAGGTGTGCGTTTTTTGGGGCCAAGTTTAGGATTGAGCACGAAGGGTTTTCTGTTGAGACAGCGGCATTCAACCCGATCCGAGAAAGCGGAAGTTCTGTCGCGGTAAACTTGTGCCCGTCTTGCAAGCCGACATGCAGGGGTTCAGCCTCCATCTCTGAAACCTTGGTTGTGTGTATACAGTACATATTACATATATATATATACATACACACATGTAAGCTTCTACATGACAGTGGGTTTATTGTATATGCATGTACATAGTACCCAACTCACCATATGCGTAAAACATGGGTCTCTGTGTTTGCAAGTCCAATCGCATGTGCAGAAGTATCACGATGTGTGTCGCTGCGCGGCATGTTTCTATGTATGCCCATGTCATCTGCTGCGTATCTCGGCGTGCGAAGCGAATACATGTACTCAGGCTTGCGCATCTAAATCTACAGTTGGGATCCTCGCTTACCCGGCAGAGCCCAAGCAACATGAGCACTCCGGGCCCCTGGCTCCAGTTCTGAGCTTCCCACGCAAGCAGATGAGCATGATCAAAGCGCGAGCATATAGACCCCATTATACGATTTAGCAAGGGCGCAGGACGAGTGTACCAGGTGAGGTCAAATCTTTCGACTCTGTGGCCTGAGGCGAAGTTCAAGGAGGCCATCGACAACATGCTTGGCATCAGCAAGTTCCCAGCCATCGCAGTACAGAAGAAGGTCCACCCGACTGAAATCTCCAGGTTTACCTCCTTTAATCGTAGGGTGTCTGAACCCGGCAGCCTCCGGCGTCGTTTCGGCTTTAGAGATGCATGTTGACGTTGGGATTCAGAAGATCAAATCTCGGGTCTTTGGGGCCGACCGAAGATTGCATTTCTGCATCCGAAGACAATCCTCAAGAATTGTGTGCTTTTCTTGCGAAATCTACGCCCTCTGACTGAACAGTTTGGCGAGGCTGGGGACAAGAAGAAGTTTGTGTACACTGGTGCCATGACAGCGGCGCAGATCTCGCAGTTCATAGAGGAGACTTGGTGGTGCTCTGTTGTTTCGGGTAAAGGTCCGACTGAAAGTACGGGTCCTGTCGTAGCTCATGGCCTCTATAGAAGACAGTTACAATTACTCCCCAAGCCCTCTTCGAATCACTGGCTGTCCCTATATTATTCCCCTCCGCTGGCCGCCCTTTTTCGAGCAGGGCAATACCGTGCATGTAGTATGGGCTCCTATGCTTTAGCGTGTCGCTGCACCTGCCTCTTTGATACCAAAGCTTGCTGTGATGTTGAAGTAAAGCACTGCATCCCCGTATACTGACCATATATATAGTGCACATGATTATGTGCCGGTGCAAACAATCGCTTCTTTGTTTCGTTACCGTAGCAGCGACCACCTGAAGCCCAGGATGTTAGCACAGGGAAGGTCTCCCCGTCGCTGAAGTCTGAGCCCAAGCCTGCCGCTCCTTGGCTGTGGTTGGATGTGGCCGTGATAAAGGGCATGCAGATACCAGACATGGTTTGCTTGTTGGTGCGATATGTGCGGCTTGGAAATCACTGAACAACCGTGATGGTCATCGCCACCCCACCATCGAATCACAGTAGCTCCAACCACAAGCATCAGAGCCGTGGAGCTGTGGAGCGGTTCGCCAGCAAGCAAAAGCAAGCGTGCTCTTGAGGAGCGCATGAGCTTGTCTGAGTTGGTGGCGTTTCGCGTTCCGTGACCGAGCAATCAGCAGTAGCCTGGAGACTACTGACTACTGTCACCATTGCGTCCGTTTGCTCTTGTGACCACAGCATCATCGGTGACCCCACGCTCTGCGCAAAAGACGTCATCACACTAAGCTGATTGAGGGCCGAGGCGTGAAGGTGTGAATTTTATGACGTGAGTGTATGGTTTGTTTTACGGCCTTGCAAAAGTATGACTTTGCGAGCAAAATAATACACACATCTTACAAAATCCATTAAACTCCTAGGAGAAATTAGGATTTTCTCAGGATTTTCGTAGCCTGGGCTAGAAGAACCTTAAGAAGAACATAACACATCCATAAAAAAATAGCGATTAAAAAAAAAACATAAAGAAACCATAAACAAATAAGAACAAACGGCTGAATACATCTGTCCGTAAAAATCTACATGCAAAACATATCAAGGCCATAAATCAACATAAGAGAAGATAACCGTCTCAAGCACAGTGTATGCATCGGGGGGGGGCATCATGATTACTTTTGGTCGTGTTGAGAGCCCGCTTTTCTCTTCTTGCAAAACACTGTAGCTAAACCGGAGAGTATCTGGTGGAAGATGAGATGCCTAGCTGGCACGAGAACAGGCGAATGACGATGCCGTCAGAGTTGTCGTGGGCTCCACCTTCGAGCAGGAACCTGCGTCAAGCGTTTGCTGAGTCTCGAAACTAGCAGACACAGTTCAACTTCTTGCCTTGGAAAGTCCGGCGTGTCTAGGCCCGAGGTGAATGCAAGAGCAGGTTTGGTGGTTTTGAGTGGGGCAGTACAGCGTGCTTATGATGGTTTTTGACGGCGACGACACATTCCTGGCAATGGTCATGATTGGACACATGTGAGTCTTGTTTGCATATTGCTTGTATCTTATCCTCCGGGTTCTCCGGAGATTGCAGTCGCATGTTGCTGTTGCCACTGCTTTCGGCATGTTACCTTCCGGATTCTCTGGCGATGGCCGGACCCTGTTGCCTTTGCTACTCTTGCTGTCGTGTTCAGGACTTAGCACCAACCAGAACGATTGCATGTATATGCTCATCATTCGTCGTGCAGCCGTTTTTGTTCTGTTAGCTGTGGATCTGTCCATTTGTGTTTGTTTTAACTGGCTGCCGTCATGGGGGTCCGAAGTTGAACATCTTAAGCTTGCATGCCCTTCGTAGAATGGAGCCCTTTTATGGATCACCCCCCGATGTAGACCTTCAAGCCCTCAGACCTACCCTGACCACCTTGTAAGATCTCATGTCCTCGTACCCGTGTATCCAGGAGGTTTTTACCCCCGACAAAGACGTGCTACTGGAAGTTTATGCACCCTGGTGTGGGCACTGCAAGCAACTTGGCAACAGTTTGAGGAGATCGTGTCAGCAAACGCACAGTTTTCGTTTCCAAGACCAACAGAAGGAGACTTCTAGTATGCCGGGAGGTAGCATTAAGACGAGCTGGCAGCATAAACGACAGTGTCAACAATCCTAAAACGGCAGGCAGAAGTGGAGATCCGACGGGTTGGAGTTACGTTCGCAAGAACCCACGTCATTGCGGTTGTTGCATAGGTCTCAAGTAGCAAGCTTCGGGTGAAAGATCATCGGGTCCGAGGTCGGTACTCAAGGCCCTTTGCAAGTAAAGCGTCCATGTTGAATTAAAGATGAAGATCGTCACCTCGGAGCTGGATCGCGGAGGGGGCAAGGAGTTTGGTTTTGGTTCCGCAGTTTGGAAGCAATGAAGGAAGCTCGAGCCCGAGTATAGCAAGCTGGCGAAGAAGATCAAGAAAGAGGAGCTGAGCCACTGGGCTGGCAGATTTTACTGCTTTCGGGCTCGTCTCTTCAACGTTTGGGACTTCAAACCTTCCCCATGCTGTAAACTTGCTCAAACAGCCTGGACCCGCAACCTCAAACGTTCGACATCCTTGGAAGCGTTTCACCACATCCAGCTACGCACCAATAGCCTCCTCTGGCTTGCCAAACTGTGAGCGCCGAAACGCTCGACACACGAAACCCAAGACCCTGTTCACCGAGTCCTTGTTCTTTACTCCTTCCGAGCAGGAATCTCACCAGGGATGATCGTGATGATGCTGTTGATGAAATGACACCTGGCATTTGTGATGGCGGTTCTGATGTAGCAGATGGGAACGAAGCAGAAACCCAGGAAGCCTAGAAGTCCTGCGGGTGTTAGGGTCGGGTTTGTTTTTGTAGTTGGGGTTTGAGGGTGGAGGGGTAATCAACACCGAACTCTGCACTTCAACCTGTAGCAACTAATTTTGTTGTTATTTAGAGGTTGTTCCTCAATCAACCGTCGTGCCGTAGAATTGGCTTCTCGGTCTAACGTGCATCATTTTCACTTAGGCTGGGTAGCCATTTAACCGTTAGAACTGCACCAGCCTCAAACCCTCTAACACTAAAACCTAAAACCCAAGCCTTGCAGCTTCGGAAGCCACAGTCTGCCGCCCCCAGTTTCCCTAAGGTGACTTGCTGTCCATTGCAAAGATCGACGGCACCGCGAACGACAGCCCAGTCGATTTCATCGATCCATGCACTGAAACAGGGTAAAAGTGGGGCCGAGCTCCCCTTTCCTGAGGATCGGACCTTGCTGGCTTTCGGAGCCTTATTGAACCGGATGTCTTCTGCAGGCTTCCAGGAGAGTGAGTTGATGAAGGATGATGGAAGAGGGTACTTGCGGTTTCGGCTTCGGGCTGCAGCATTATTTTTGGACAAGCCTGCTGCAATCTGTGGTGTTACATTCTAAGTTCTATCAACTTATTGGCCACGATGGCTTCTTAAGAGACATGGCCGGCGAGAGGAAGGGAGATGTGGAAGCCGCAGGAAGGATGTGTTCAGAATGCTGGTAGCGAAAGATCGTCATCAACAGCCACCTGTGCAGAGTTAGAAGGACTGCAAGGCCAGAAATCAAAGTACTGCTACGGCAGCATCAGCTGCATGACCTACTTCGCTTGCGATTGACACCCTGGCTCTGCTGCAGTGCCTTATACTTATACGCTTGAGTGAGGGCCAGCTTTGGAGATGTACTGCCTGCCACTGGCTCCAACTTCCTAAACCCGGAGAGTCCTAGAGTCTCAATCTTAAGATAATATGTTATTATATTATAATATAAGAGAATATATAAGATAAGATCATATGATATAGTATGCTATACTAAGAGCTTAACCTCAGGATTGGAGTTCCTTTCCGACGATCTTCTTCGTGAAGGCAGGGCAAAGCAATGCAACCGTCTACGATGGCGAAAGAACTGCGAAGGGCTTGTGGCCACTCGCCGGATTCAGGTTCATGGGTTTAGCGTTTGCTTGTTCGTCGAGAGATTTTGGGAGCCAATGTTTAAGCTTGACTTGCCAGCAAATCTGTTCAGCAACTGCTTCTCTGTGTGTTCTCCGAAAATCAAGGGCTGCATTGCAGGCCTGTAAACACATGATTGGAGCACCGCACACGGGATGACACCCTAAATTTGAAGCTGCTGTTTCAGCTCAGGAAGTACATCCGGAAGCATGCCACAAAAGCTCAAGAGCTGCGTGAGAGGCTCGATAGACGGAAGGCGCGGATGAGTCCGTTTCAAGGTTTACGTCTAGGCACAGAATTCCTTTCGGTTCGACCATGACCGAGTTTCCTTCTGTTCGAAAGGCCATAAGAGTGCCATTCGGAACCGGGGAGAGTTGCGAAACTTGCATATCGTACAGCCCACATCCCAAGCCTCGGGTAGTAGCACATTTCCAAGGGTTCAAGTCAGGGGTCTCGTGGGTCGTGTTGCTGTTAGGGGCCATTTGAGCATCGCTGGCCATCATATGATGCGCCCTCCTGTGCGGCAGTCGGCTACCCGCTGAACAAGCATGGTAGTTGAGGAGATTGATTGCAACCTATGTAAAAACATAAGAAACTGCAACATAAACACGGCAAAAGGCTCCAGGTGCCCTGAAGACTGCGACGGCAACCGTAAAATGAGCGCTGTACTAAGTCACTAAGTTTCGGGCCCCTGGTTCAAGGTCACGAGATCTAGAGCTTAAGATCTCTCAGACTTTGTGGTGTTCGGACTTCGAACTGTTACTACAAGCCGTAGGCCCTGGGTCCTCAGATTTGAAATTTCGACCCTGAGCCAACGCATCGCCAGGGCAACAAAGGAAGAGGTCACGGCCTTACGGAAGAAAGGCCTCTAAGAAGGCTTCAGGTTGTGGGCGTCTTTCGATAGTTCCGTGCTTGTTCGCGTGCTGAAGATGAGAGCAGGCCTAAGCTCAGATGTTCCGATCCCTTTCGGGGAGCCTCAAGACACGTGTGCTAAAGGACTTGGTTCACCAAGATCTCCAAAGAATCGCAACCCCAAGACCTAAACACTCCAAGGGCGTGGCAGTTAACCCGGCTGGGCCCTTGACTGACACATAAGAAGTTCAAACCTGAGGCATTCAATAAACAGAGCCCTTCTCTGAAGAAGCCTCGTTGTTGGGGGCGCCAGAAGCTTGGGCATTGAGAGCCGGGTGTAGGATTTTGGTCCGCTGGACAGCCAAAGCCATTTCAGTCCGCTTTTCTGTGGACTCAAGCTTTCGCACCTTTGAGCGTTCTTCGGGGTTTGGCATTCGTGCGCACTCAGGCGAGGAGCTGTGATCAACTAGATCAACTCCTTCCACGCGTTCCGTCTCACCTCGTGTTTCGCACATCCCCGGAGGCCGGAACGCAGAGTCTGCAAGAGTTTGGTGGCTTGCTGGTTCGAGGTGGTCCGCTTCAGTCTTACTTGTTATAGTTGCTGTTGCCCTGAAAGACTGTGGACTTGATGACTTGGAGCTTTAGGTTCGTAGTGTGGTTCGTGCATGCATTCGGTTCATGGGCTCTCCAAACGACCTCGCCAGCCACAGATAACCTTTCGATGGAGCTTAAGAAGAGTGCCGTACTGTCATTGGAATCCACGAAAACCTTGTGAAGCCTCTCCGCATTTGCGATGGTTGTAATGCCCGCATCTGCAACATTTACCTAAAACCATCAGTTGTATGCGGTAGGTGGAAAACAGCAGCAAGACTCCATCGGGATTACATCACCATACATGAACATGGCAGCTGTCCGTATGAACTCTACAACCCAAAAATTCCCGGTTAAGTGCCCCCTTCCCACTGCTTCCAGGCCATCGGTGCAGCCGTCTGACTTAGCCTTGGGAAACCTCGCGGGCTGCTGTCCGAACGGACGGATTCAGGGTTGGTTTGGTAACTGTCGTTCTCGTGGGATCTAATTATCACGAAGCAACCACAACAACCACACCACCACGACCGCGACCACCCCTGTGACGACGACGACGGCTGCTGCGGAAAACAACGGCAAGGACTAGTGGTAGTCGCGGAGTTGCAGCCGCACAGCAGCAGCTGGAGTCGGCATAACTGTCGCTGTCGTTGTCCTCGGAAGTCCAGGGCTTGTAGGTTTGAGTGGGTTTGGGTTTAGGCTTAGGTGTGGTGTTCTGTTGTTTCTCCTGCGTGGAGCTCATGGAACTGCAGGGATTGAGGCTCGAGCTTGGGAGCCAGGGGGTTGGTGTATTTTGGGGTGTAATTGCTGCACGATTGCAGAGCCGCAAATCATGAGTCTGAATTTTGGGGTTTCGGGATGTCTCCTCGAGCATGAGGGGTTCGTCTGGTTCTATTTAAACGATTCAGGCTGCGGTTCGTGGTGCCCCAAAGTTATAGTTGCGCTCGAAGATATCTTCCAATTATCACACCTCCCTGACAGCAGCCTGTGCCCTCGGTGATCCGCTCACTCTCCGAGCAAAAAGGCGCGCTTTCAGAAGTGCTTCACTCAGAGCACTTAACTATCCCCAAGTATTCCCGCCATGCTGCTGCCCCTGCTAACCCTGTGAAATCTGGTGTGATAACCACACGTTCGAGTGCACCACCCCCATCTGCATCAAACCCTTCAGGCCACTTTCTGCCCACTGTGCTGTCTCCTACAGGCACCTGAATCAATGGAACCCTCGCGGTGATCAATGCCCCGGTGTTGACCCCGAGCACCAAAACCTAACCCAGCGGGCCATGTTCTGCCTCGGGAAGAAGACATGTCAAGTGGCTTCGAGACACAGCACGAAGTAGCCGGAATCGTGATCGTGAGATGCTGGCGTCGAATTCGCAATGATGGGAGAATAATGCAGGCAAACTCCCACGTTTCTTTGTGGAAAGCCTGAAATGCGAAGAGGGAGACAAAACTAATTTGTTGGTCAGTTGAGGGATTCATAGTGCAATGCAGCTTTTGCAAAACAGCTTCTCCAACCCGTAGCGTGGGTCCCCACGACCGTTGAGGCTTCAATCAACCCCTTACCCGTGCCAGGGCCTCAAGAGAACCCCAAAGGATGATTGCTCGGGTTTGTGTAACTGGCTTTGCTTGAAATCCCCACAGTTTTCCAGATCAGCGTATTTACACTCCACTTATGTCCTTTTTATTGTTCGGCTTCGCCCCTGTATGTGATAGAAGCTCATGCCAACAGCCCACTCTCGGTGTCCGCGACGCTGAACCCAACCCCGACCCCACACCCCTGTTACTCGTGAACTAGAACTTCCTCCCAGGAAACCCTGACCACGGCGAAATCGCGTGCAGTGTTTGCTGTGCTCCGCTGCTAAAGACCCAAATCCTGAAGCTGAACCCCATTTTCAGTTCTGAAGCCCTGTGAAACAGCTTCGTCAGGTCCAGGAGACAGAAGCCAGCCCGACCGAAGAGAAGCAGCGTCACAGCCCCGGGAGCCAGCGCAGCATGTGTACATACAGTGTATGTTATGAGAGTAAACACATGCCGCGGTGTTTGACCATAGTCATCGATGTTCGTATTGCTTTATGCGCACTAGCGGCGTGTACACACGCACAGTCTCTCTCTCTCTCTCTCACATGATTGCACATGTCGAAGCATTGAAGCAAGTAGTTTACGAGCAGACACCGCAAGATCGGCAAGGTAGTATACAGATAGATAAGGCGTGAGGTACGGTTAGATAGCAAGAAAGAACAGCCGAATAGGCAGCCAGATAGATAGATACACACATGCACATGACAGGTAGATACAAGGGTAGCTAGATATATCAAACAGACAATAGAAAGACAGTCAAAAAGACAGACAGGTAGATGGGTAGATTCGGGTGGATTGTAGATGGATAGATTTGTAGATAGATGGGTGGTTGGACAGATAGGTTTTTTTGCAGATGGACAGGAAGATACATGTGTCCGCATGTAGTATATTTTATACGCTTTTGCATGCGTGCACTGCGTAGGTGTGATGGTCCGCATTTTTCAAGCACACGCCGCAAAAGCTCGCTTCTTGTCCTCAACCCACGCAATCTCCAAACACTGAGTTCGCTTTGACGCCGCACCCGGCACTCCTGCAACCTTAGATCGTCGCTGGCATCCCGATCGATGCTCCAAGATGCCTAGTGATGGGACCTTAGTAAGGCCCAGGTTTAGTTCTCTCATACTCGGTAAATTCGTTGTCAAACCATCCAGCAATATGGGAACCCTTGCATGCCCACTGTACACTTAAAGCAGCGCAGCCCACTCTTCCTAGCGACCCGTACTTCGGCCGTTTCTCAACGATGCCATGCATGTCCACAGCGCCTTACCAGCGCCGGCCGCGGTGATCTGCTCCGAAGCACGCTGCCTGTGGGCCCTGACAGTGTACAAGGCTTGACATCCGCCTAGTTAAGTGTGGGTTTAACTAGTTTAAACAGGTGACTGACTTCACGATTTGTTCGTCTGCTATAATTTCATTTCAGAGGGCTGAATTAGACCGCTTGTAGGATGCAAAGACTTCTCCCTCAACGATTTTGCATCTCTTGCTTGGGCGGTCAGCACTTCTTCATCGACGGAGTCGGAGAGGCTGTATGCGCATTGCTTTACAGCATCAGCCATCCCCCGGCGACGATGCTTGGAGCATCATGTCGGAATCAAGCAGTTGAAATCTGCAGATGGCAGCGGGATGCTTTCGATTCTTTGTTCGGCAATGACTTTAGATGCAAGAAATATCATAAGCCTTGTTGCGATGCTGTTCGTTCCCGTGTTGTGCACAGGACCTCTTAGACTCTTGAATGTGTATGCTGTCAAGTTGCGCTGTGAAGCGGTCTACTATACTACCAGCCTACAGTAGGTGAAGCCTCAACCCGAGCCTAGGTCCAGGTCATCCTTGAACCCCGGCCCACGGATGAAGAACGCCGTTCGTCTTCCGATCCGTTCTTCAATTTGCAGGTCCTCAGCAACAACTTGCCGGGAGAGGCAGGGTCGGTACCACAAACTGGGCTGAAATTCGATGCCGGGAAGCTCAAACCCGACATAAGTCTTATCTCGTAAACTCTGCAGTCCCAGACCATCTCAGAGTCAGACGTCTTTAGGACGATCTGAGATTCCAACCCACATCCCCAAACCCTTGCGATCTGTGCAGTTGCAGGGCTCTTTACGAATAAGGGGTCTGTGGGGGTTCAAGGCATTGGAGGATTCTATGATCTGGCCGGGTATGCAGGACTATCGGTAAAAGGTGTTCGGCTCAACAGATTCCGGCACTAGTCTGGAGGTCTTCACTGGGGATTCAAGCCGTCACGTGATCTGCGGGCATGGGGTGTTCATTCCAAGTATCGTAGAAATCACGGGGGACATCTGCTTCGAC